TTTTTCTGCTTTTAAAATGTTTTTGTAGATAAGAACTGAACCACTTTGGAAATCAGTACTATGTATTGAAAGTGTATATTCAGTATAAAGAAAGAATAAATAAAATAAATAAATAAATAAGTGCCCTTTCAAGTAGAGTAGACATGGCCTAATTGATTCAACTTGTCCAACAATTATCATTGAAATTCCCAGTCCCACCAAGGAGAAAAGATCCCATAGTTCCACCCATTAATTATTATAATATTACTATTGTTGTGTATTGTTTTAGTTTACCCCCACTACCCCTGGTCATCTGCACCAGAAATAAATAAAAACTCTCCACAAAAATTTATTTTTGGGAACACAAAATAACAGCTATGTATTATATACTAACATTGCATTAAGAGACAGAATTACTATAACAAACTGTATGAATTTTGTATCTACTGTAATAATGGTTTGCAATATATGTCTTTGTAGCTATGGCTACTCTCAGCAAGGCTATGGACAAGTGGGTGCATATACAGGTCAAATCATGACCCCTGAACCAATCCCTGATCAAGATACTGGTGGATACACAGATGGCTTTGATGATGAGCCACCCCTGCTTGAAGGTCAGATTCAGTAACTAATAATCATCATCATTATTATCATCACCATCACTATTCTAAATATAGATGCACATAACAATCCCACAATGCACTGTACAAACACAATGCAAAAACATGAAACATGTCCACAGTGGAAATACATTTTTTTTAAAATTAATAATTTTTAAAAAATGTTTTAATTTATGCTGTCTGTCATGCAAGAAGAAGTGGTGAAAATAATTTTAAAATACTGTATATTGATTTAACTTTCTTGCTACAGAACTTGGAATCAATTTTGACCACATTTATTCAAAAGTGAGTACAGTTGTTTCTCTTTACATGATGATACAATACCCATAATAGTGGTCCAGACTAAAGTAAGGCCTGCACACAAAAATTTGCCCTAGAAATCTCCTTTCATATTTTTCTGAAAATTAGGCTTTGACCTAATCTTAATGTAAACCATGTATTATGCAGTAATTATGATTCTCTGCACCTTTTGTTTATAGCGATAGTGGTAATGATATTTATGACAATTAGTAATACTGTAGTAATATACAACCTCAAATTCTTTGCTTGAACAAAGTTAATTTCACAACACATATTTTGATTTCAATTAGACACTGACAGTTTTGAACCCCCTCAGGCAGACTTCAGCAGAGGCTGTGAATGACTCAGACTTAGCTGGGCCACTTGTGTTTGCATTTGCCTTTGGAGGAACATTGCTACTTGTAAGTAATTTATACAGATACCCAAGGTGATGGGAATTTTGGGGTGGGGATTTCTGCTTTTATTCTAACTCAAATATATATAGTATTTTTTCTCCATTGTAATACATGTGGTTTGTTAAGGTTAAGAAAAAAAAAAATTTAACATAACATTTGACAATAAAGATAGATTATGGAGAAAAGGTTTTCGGATATTCCTGTTTTCATTTTTGTTGAACATGTCCTCACCCCCATTCAGTTGTCCTGAAATAGAATGCAACTACATGGGCGGGTTGCTATAAATGGTCTTTAGATGGTCTTAATGCTTGGCTGGCTTTAATCGTGACGTCGCGTTTTAAAGAAGGCTTAAAATGGTCTTCAATTATTTTCATCATGGCGTTACAGGTACTAGACCTTGGCCTTGATCGTCAAAGACTCGCACGATGAATATTCTGCAAGCTTCTCAATGTCTGTAAAACTGGTCTACGTTCATTTTGATAAATATGCATGTTTTGAGCAAGCGTAACAGTACCCTCAATTTCACGTTACCAGGGAGTGCTTGTTTGCGTTTCAATACTGAAAGCAGTCTAAGTGAAGACTGTTTTATAGCAATAGTCTTGGGAGAGTGACTTTAGTAAGTCTGAGTGATTCATGGAGTTAGTCTCCGTTAAGACAGTTTCATAGCAATCTGCCCCAGGTTTCCCTCCAATTAAAGACTGCTGTAGGGACCAAAGTACCATATATACACTGTTAGCTATTAGGTAAGTAAATAAATACATATTATTTGTCATTAGTGTATTTTACAAAGAAGCTGAAAAATGTGAAAATCATGTCTATGGTACACAAAAAAAAAATAAAAATACATAAATAATAAGACTATACTAGGTATTAAGGATTTTCTTTTTCTTTTTTCCAAGGCTGGGAAAGTGCATTTTGGTTATATTTATGGAATTGGTGGTGTGGGATGTGCAGCAATGTGGGTGTTACTGAACATGATGAGTTTCACTGGCGTGTCTGCCGGCTGCATCATCAGCGTCCTTGGCTACTGCCTCTTACCAATGGTGTTCTTGTCAGGAGTTGCCATCCTTGTATCATTAGAGTAAGGAAACAATTTTCACTGATCAAAACATTTGCTATATATATTTTTACTCATTTCTGTGTCTACTGCCCCCACGAGGTTGTAGCAGACATTAGTATTATCTACTAAAATATGTATGTTGTGAAAGTATATCCAGATTGAGAGTTCAAATTTTGGGGTACCATTCAATCATAAGCTAAAGCAAAGGTTGTAGAATTGCAGGAGCAAGATTTCCCTGAAACAGAATGCTATATCAAGCCATGGACACATGCTCATACTTTGGAGCCTATTTTGACTGCCATCAATGATTAATATTGGAATGGAAAGCTCAAATAATGTTACAGGTCTCCTTCCAATTAAAGACTACTTTTGCGACCAGGGTTTCTATGGTCCTTAGCAGGCTTGGTCTCTTATTAGAAAAATAAAGATAAAATATAATTTGAATTTTGGAACCACAGAAGTGGTCTTTAATTAGAGGGAGACCTGCATTTTAAATTGATTATTATTTTTGCTTCACTTGTAGGACGTTGTTGGGGACATTTATATCGTTAGCGGCAATAGGTTGGTGTAGCTGGTCTGCGTCTAAGCTGTTCGTCACTGCCCTCGCCATGGACTCACAGCAGCTTCTCGTGGCTTACCCATGTGCATTACTCTACGGAGTCTTTGCCCTCATCACAATATTTTGAAACTATTACACTCGTTTTTTTTCATGCAACACCATAATTTTATCTTGAATCAAATGAAAGTTTGTATTCAACAAATTCAAAAAACATTAACATGAATGATGTCATATCAACCAGTAATGATGTCATCCAGTATTGTCATGTTGATCTTAGCATCTCAGTATACCACAATATGATCTGACAACTAGGAATGATGTCATAGTGATCTTGGTATAATGCCCTTTAAGTTTGGGGCAGCAAGGATTGATGTCATCCATATCTGATATTGATTTTAATAACAAGGATTGGTATTAGTATGTCATCTCATCCATGTTGATGTCATAACAAAGGTTGATGTCATAACAAAGCATGATGTCACAAACATTTATTTCTTCTTATACTGAGAACAATACATTGTAATATTGCATTGGTATTATTACTGTAAAGAATACTGTACTTCAGTTTTAGGAAATATAAAATAATTGAAGGTACAGTAATGGGAAGTAGCTATTTAGCTGATGCAGTAGTGATTTAAATATTTTTACTTTCATTGTTATTATTGTTGGAGTAATAATTATTAAATACAATAATCAATGTTCCCTTCTTTAAATATAGAATATGCCTATTTGTCATAATGCAAAAATTGATTACTGAATTTAAGTTAAATGCACTTTCAAACATCTTAGTGATCTGTATTTATTATTGCACTGAGAGAAAGTTTGTCTTGGTATTATAGATAAAATATGTAAATTGACGTCTTATGTTATCAGTTACTGTACTACACTCAAACAAGGGTGTGTATTATTGTAACAATTTCATATTTTAGTTTTCCTGTATTAAACTAATTTTTCAATAAAATATACTGCTATAATTTTGTTGGATTTGATTAATTGACAATTCATACAAAAACAATTAGAATATAGTGCTAAACTACATATCATGCAGTATTGAAAATATTCCTGACTAAACTTCCTTTAGATAAAGTCAGTGACGTATCTACGGGAATGCATCCCAGTAGGCCCCATTGAAAATCCTGCTCAAGTACTGTAGATAAAAATCACCTTTATTTCACGAGCTAAAGTAATTCTCCCCACAATAAGGACCCAAATCCACCCCAACCCCGATAGGCCATTGGATGAAGTAAGAACAGGTCAGTCAAAATAAGGCGAGTAGAGTGATATTTGGTGACTTGCAAATTTATTAAAAACACTAGCGTTTGCCAACAGTATATATGGTTATTAACCATAGTATCAACTCTTAAAAAGGGCCTAATTATTAATTAATATAGTTATAATAAAGTTTGGACCACCTTATATGAAAACAGAAGCTGAAAGGAGCAATTATTTCCTGAAGCCCATAGGCATGAATGAAAAAAAAAAAACTAGGCACTATATCGATATAGTGCCTGCTTGGAAATAGGAAAATTATGTGGACATGTAAATGACGACGTCACAACTGACTCATAATTTGAACATTGAGTGTCTTTCATCCCTTCAATGGTTGTTTCTGGTTTGTTATTTAGAATTCTTCATTCGTTTCAGCAGGGAATCCCTTAGAGCAATCTGTCAAAACAAGAAAATAATTTGCAGTATTAAAAATAAGTCAATTTCCTACTCTTATGCTAAGTGTAGAATTTTCGACATGCACACAAGACTACACTGATACTCCATCAACTTCTAAACTGTCGCTTTTCAATGGGAGGCAAAAATATACTTTATGTAACTGAATTGGGACACTAATTTACAGACATGGTAATATAATTACGAATTACTTAAAAAACAACTACCACAACAATATAATATAAATAAACATAAAAATATGTTACTAATAAAACAAAAATATTAAAATTGTTGCTATAAAATATTTCAATTATATATACAAACTCAAATACAAATTGAGATCACATTACGAATTAAAAAAAAACCATTCTTAAAAAATTGTAAACATAAAAGATTAGGAAGTGCAGCAAAAATTTATATTTTAGTCAAAAAAATTTAAAAAAATAGTAAACATAATATAAAATATAAGACCATTACCATTATATAATGAAACACATTAAGATATTACTAAAAAAAACCAAAAAAAAAACAGTTAATTGAATTCAATACTTTACCTGCTTTTCTCTAAAAGATCTCTTTTGTTTTCCTTTGATATTTCTTTTTTGTTTTACCATCATGAAGGGTTTCTTTTTCTGTTTTTCTTTATTGCTTGTGCTAGCATTTGGATTGTGTCTTCTTTTCTGCTGTCTGAACTTCTCTCTTCCTTCTCTACCACTCTGAGTAAAATGTGTTTATTAAAATTATTGTAAAATAACAGTTTTTTGATGAAAGAGTAAACAAATAATTATAATACTGATGATAATGATACTACTGTATGATGATGATGAATTATTTAATCAAACAATTAATTAAATTAAAAAAAATATAATTTACCATAACTGTTGCAAGCCTGGATTCTTTATCATGCCGAGGTCGGTATTTGATTGACTCAATTCTATTAAGCGACAGAATTTCTCCACTGAAATGGAATCAGTTAAATAAAAAATTAATACTCTATATATCATAAATTACAAATTAAAAACCCTTTGTGCGGCTTGCCTAAACTATACGGCTTGGAAAACCCTATTTCAACGGTCTGACAATCTGTATTGAATCATGTAAACATAGTATAAAGCAGTATAAAAATGGTGCGTGAATGTTGCACAATGGAATCAAAATGTCACGATTTTTTCACCATGAACTCTATGTGAACAGCCTTCAACCTGCCTATCCATCTGGTCTAGTATATTACCCCCACATAAAAGTAGTATGGTGGTAGTGGTGGTACCAGGATTCTATCAGAAGTCACTAGTTGCACTGGACATTCTGATCTTCTGAAAATGATATATTAAATCAGATTTTAGTAGACTTTCTCACCTGGATTCTTCTTCTATTGAATTGTTCAGTTTTCTTTTCTTTCCCTTTGTGACTTTTGCTCCCTCTATCTCTCGCTTCATTTGTTTTATTCTAATTTCCTGAAATAAAAATCAAACTATTATTAATAATTTTCCAAAATATATATTTAAATAATAATCTAAAGCAAAAATATGAATATTGAAGAACATTACAGATTAGCTTTATCACCAATAACTTATACTAATACACCAAAAATAGCAATGTCCCATTTTCTCTGTTATAGGAAGTAAATCACTGTTAATGTGTTGGTTTATAAACCATGAACTTGAACTAAGCATCAATAATTGAGGCAATTCATTGCAACACTGCTAATCACGCAAGGAGAAAGGATACATGGATGTTGACATTTACACATTCATTCTTAGAGGCTAATTTTTTAGGCATTTTACAAGTTGTTGTTACACTCTGCCCACATCAAATTTTATGTGACAAATAAATGTGATGTGCCCATATTTAGGTGTAATATGACATCACCATGCCCATATATGGGTGCATCACACAAATTGGTCACATCAAATTTGAGAGTGTGGACAGAGCATTATACAAATTGATGTATTTTATCACAGTCACAGCAATATGAATGCAGGCTAAAATTTTATAATTATGCCAGGTCTTAACATTATCATTGCCTACCTTGAATTCTTCCTGTGTTAACAGCCTTGATTTGCTAATCTCAGAAGCTCTTGCTTGCCTTTCTTCTAATGTCAAACTATCTACAATGCTGCCCTCTTTTTCATCATCTTTGCCAGCATCATCATCTGAATGAATGACATCATGCCAACTGCCATCACTGTCGTCTCCTGACTCGCTGCAGCTTTCCCAATCAGCTACAGAACGAGAACACAAAATTAGAATTTCAGCATGAATGCAAGCATGAAGCTACTATAAGGACCTCTCTATGGCTGTTACAGTAGTCATGAACCACTCCCATAATGCAATTCAATACAATGATACTGCGAGTTATGGGTTAGCACAGCGATTTGCGTTTCAATCTTAATTTGGAAGTACATTAACTGTGAATTTCGCTTGAGATTTTTGGCAAGGCATTTACCTGTGTTTGTCTCTCTGCACCCAAAAGATAAATGGGTACCTGGTTGGATGATGTGGCACCACTTAGAATACTCTTCAGGGAGTGGTGGAGGTTGCACTTTGTGCTGGTTTGATTATGGATCCAGTGACCAGGGGTAGTAACAACATCGTCAACACCTTGTATTCCTTGGCAAAAGGTAGTATAAATCCCTATATTATTTATATTCCCCTACCCTTTTAATACCTTTATATTAGTATATTATATATCATACTACGTAACTACAGTGCACACTCCAATTCGAGACTCCTTTAATTCCAAGACCTGTTTAATTCAAGACCACTTTTCCAAAGACCCAAATAACAGTCTTCAACCTTTTAACACAAATCTAGCCCTCTAATTGGAGACCAACCAAAAGAGACAACCCGAAATGTTCAGGTCCCAAAGGTGGTCTCCCTGGAGGGTGAACTGTATAACTATTACCTTGTTCTCTTTCAGCATCTTGAAGCTCAGATGAGTCCTTCAATACTTCAGCCCCTGGGATGAAGTTAGGGGCCACAAGCTCCCCATACTCTTTGGCCTGAATATCCATGCTGTGCTCTGTGGGCTTACCCTGTGGGTGAAAGAAGAATAAAGTGTCTTTTTCACTCTGCAGTAGGCATTGCAGCATGATTGGGAATTAAATTTTAGACGCACACCATTACATTTCAACACCTGCTCTGTAAAATATTTTGTAGATAAGCAAGTTATAATATATCTGAGGCTTGCCATTCCAAAAAACAGCGTACTGTCGCTAAATATTAAACCGAGTAATTAGCATAAGAATATGGCATTTTTAATCGTAAGTTTGGCAATAAGAGTAAGTTGGTTCCAGTAAATGATTCATCATTTTAAAGCTTATAATGTGGAGAATAATAATATATTAAAAAGGTCAATTGTCTTGTTTCATTCACTGAAGCTGGTTTTGGCATGGTAAGTCCCATTTGTCTTTACTAGTAAGAAAGTCACAAATATATTTTATTGTATGTATGAATGTATGTATTCAACGACCAATACTTTTTGTGGGAACAAATGAATTTGATTCGGATTCTCATTTATGAATAAGAATTCTCTCTCTCTAATTAGTCTCAAGAATAAAAATAGAGGCATTTACTTCATAATAAAATTTATGATTTATGAGCTACTAAACTTCTAAAATCATGTGTGCTGTATACTAACCCGGTCCTTGCGGTGCAATAACTCTGGATTCACACTCCGGAATAAACCAATTAGTGACCTTGCTGCTGCCATCACAGACTTATTCTTGTAATTCTTGTACTGAGCAAGGTCAATCAAGAGGTCAGAGGTCATAGCTAGAGGACATCTTGCACAGACTTCCCTGACAGCATTTAGCCTAAATATGAATATGAAAATATGTTTTAATATGACCATGGACCTATTATTATTAGGTCTATGACAATTTTACATTTTATTTAATTTATATACTTAGGCCTACGTTCAATTTAACATCCTTAGTACATTCCTTGTGATTGGATGTAATACAGACATTTCTGACTGTTAATGTACTAAATCACATTTGGTTTTCACAGGAATATGAGGACTTTTGCTTCAATAGTTGGTACGACTTGACCATCCCACTGAATTGTAATGCTCAACAGTCTGTACCTACCCTACTGCCATTACTTTATTTGAATTTCTCTCATTGGGTTTTCAAAGGAATACAAGGGACTTTTGCCCCAATATTTGGTACGAGTTGATCATTCCACCGAATGATCAACTCGTACCAAATGTTGAGTTGATCATTCCACAATGCCACAAACAGTCTGTGCCTACCCTACTGCCATTACTTCATTTGAATTTCTCTCTGTTACGAAGTTGTTAACAAGCGTCATAATCAGCGACTGGATGATTTCAGGTGGGACTAGCTCATGGCTTGCTTGGGCAGAGTACAGCAACAGTTTTGTCACCTCTAAAATTACAAGATTTAAACAAATTTTCTTTAAAGGAATTACTGGCTATTAATATACTTGAATAATGTAATGAAAAAAAAAAATTGTTTGTATCATGAGAAACGAAAATTATGAATGTAAGTCAATGTTTATAGTAGTTTTTTTTTAATGTCTTTTGGATTAAAAGTTTATTTCTATTATATTAAATAAATTAAATGAAATTACCCTTTTGATGTGGCTGAATGAAGCGCTGGAGGAAAGGATAAAAGTTGAAGAGGAATAGTTGATGGATGCCGACAAGACGCGAGATGAGATTCATCATCATTAGTTTTACTTCAAATCGCTCATTACTACCTTCAAGATTTTTAAATAACCTCTCTGCAAAGCCTGGTTCAAAATCAAATAACAAATGATAAATAGAATAATCAATTTTTGAATTTATATATATAAATGAATAAAGAAATTAATAGAAAATATTTGAACAGGCATGTCCACAATTACAGAGGGCAAGTTAGCATGATGAGGAATTTATTTTAAGAAAGAGACGAACCAAGTCAGACTTGCCAGACCTTGCGTCTTCTGGTAAGACACATTGCTCCAAATACCCTGTCCTTTGAATAGGACATTAAACCGGTGATCTTGCATGCATATGTGCTCAAATGAGAATGCAATACACAAGTTAAAAATACAGAAATTGTTTCCTAGTGTACAGACCGTTGTAGGCAATACCTCATGGTCACCACTGGTCCTAAAGGGGGTAAATCCAAATTCCCGTCTATTTTCAACATGGATTATGAATATACATTTCAAATTACGTGACTCACTTTGTGGATCATGGACAAGATGAATAGCTGAGAAATTGAAAAGCTCTGCTTTCTTTTTCTTCTTGTGTTTGTTGATTACTTTCAGGGCTTTACTCGTCTGTTTCATTCTCTTTCTTGTTTTCTTGTTTACTTTCTGTGCCAACATTACCTGCTTTGCTGTTGTACCTTCATCCTAAAATGTAAATGTAAAGTGCATAAATGTTTCATTTTATTATTATTTTCCATTATCATGCTTTCAATACCTATTTATCTAAATATAACCATTTATACAGTGCTATTTCCAAAGGATTCATACCGTGCTAATTACCAATTGTCATAAAAATCATCACCATCATTAACCAGATGTACGCAAAAAATAAAAGGAAATTTGGGAATTGCGATAACTAATAGTCACCAAAGTCATTCACTGCATTCTACAAAATTTGAAACTAATCGGAGTTTGCCAAACTTTAGTTATCATTTTTTCAGCATTTCCAGGCCGAATTAGGACGTTTTTTTTGGCATATAAAAAATCAGAAGCAGGCCAAAAACCAGCGTCTGGTGGTGACGCTAAACAAGTATTTTTTTTTGGTCTTATTAACAATTAACCACGTAACCCTAGCTAGGCTAGGCCCATTATGTTCTCTCTGATTGGACCACCCAGCCTAGACATAGAAAGAAAGAACTGCCAATGTGTATGGGTATTTGTCCTAATTTCGTGGGCTATTACATTTAATTCATACTTGAATATCACATACGATTGTGAAAACATAGTGATTTAAATGTATGGTTTAATATACATAATAAACTTGTAATTAGTTTGAACATGGAGGTACACTATATTGTTCTATGTCTACTGCTAATGTTCTCGCAATAAAAAAAAAAAACAAATGTCAGCAAACTTTTTCTGATGCATACGCAAATCAAAATTTGCCCTAAAAAACCTCTCAAAAATGGTGGTAGGGGGTATATGTTTTATCGTGTACAGCTTACATTTTTTATCTAACCAAAAAAACAAACATTTCTTGCACAAATACATGTCCACCAAAAACTATGGGACACATTGTATACCCTCCACGAAGCACCGTTTAGGAGCCTATTTGTTTACAAACATACCAACATGTTGTGGCCATACATCTTACACACACATTTCACATCTGTATCATCCCAATAGTTCCACTGTGACCTAAGGTCACAAAGGAACTAATAATTCATTCTATCAGTTAGTAGATATATGATACATTATGAATATATGTTTCAATTCGGAACTAAAATTAATAATTCTCTTAATAACAGAAACCATAGAAACCTTTACCTCTGATTCACTATCACTTTCTTTGCCATCGTCATCATCTGAACCAAGAAAGAACTTAAGAGCAGCCACAAGAATCTAAAATTGAATTCATAATACTCATATTAATAAAACTTTAATAATCATTATTAGGCTGTCAATAATACGATAGTAGCAGTGATGGCGCAAGTGGGGGTTGTGGAGAAATTTGCCATGTAGACGCAACAAGGTTCTTGAAATGAAAATATCAATTTTTCAATCCAATGAACGTTATTGAGATTGCCAATCCCTAGCATTGTGGTCTGATTTCTTTCTACTGCATTTATCTGTTGTTCAAATGACTGAGGGTAATAATGCGAGAAGTGCACAGAGACCATCACAATGTGCGTTATACTCTGCCACATCAGTATTATTGTACGAGAGTTGTAAAAAAAACAAAAAAAACAAATGTACCTTTGTGACTTTAGAAAAGCACGCTGTTACAATTACATTAACAGTTTTCTCATCCTTCCTGTAAATAGACAACATTTCAAAACACCAATTATTATTCACTTTGAAATACATATCTCTGTTAAATCTAATTAAAGATATCTCCAATTTAAGACCACCTCCAATTAAGACCTCTTTTCTGTGGTCCCAAATTAACAAATTATTTTATTTTTATTATTCTAATTTGAGACCAAAGCTGCTAAAGACACTAGAAACTTCAGTCCCAAAAGTGGTCTCTATTTGGAGGGAGAACCGTATTCTGCATGATAATAAAGTGGTATAAAAGTAAGGCTTTATGCCGGCAACTGAAACATTGTAAGGCTTAAGTTCTCACCACTTTTTTAGTTCGCTTTGGGTGAAGCACTATAGTTACATAGTCTCTGTCCACAAATGAAGGAAGTGTGTGTGTGGGTATCTGGAAGTTTTGAACACCAATATTCTGATTTTAAGCAGCAACATCAACGCAAAGTACTGTACTGAAGGACGAATGGAATCGGTGGTGGATGTTGAAATTTGAAATAAAGGGGACCCCTGAAGGAACTTCCACAGTTGGAGGGTCTATAATTTATGATTGCGGACCACTAGACGGCCTGAAATGGCATCCCCAGTCTTAGTTGAATTCCTTATTTGTTTAAATCTTTTAGGGGAGGGGGCCCAGGCTGGCTAGGCCTCCCTTGAATCCACCACTGAAAAGAATGGAAAAGAGTAAGAAGACTTAAGGCCTATTTATACTTCAACGATAGCGATAACGATAAAAAAGCTAAAAAGCAATTGTTCTTATAGAGAATAAAAGAAGTTCTTACACCTTACACTAGAATGATTCGATAACGATTTATCAGATGACGTCATAATCATGGAAAAAAATTAAAATCGTAGTAGTAGCAAAGATTTTATCGTTTTTCCATGATTATGACGTCATCTGATTTGTGGAAATTTTTTGTTATCGTATACACGATAAATCGTTATCGAATCGTCCTAGTGTAAAAATTTCTTTTGTTTTCTACATGAACATTTGCTTTTTAGCTTTTTTATTGTTATTGTTATCGTTGAAGTATAAACAGGCCTTTGGTAGCCAGTAGGATATCTTACCATATATTTCTTCTGTACAATTCTATCATAATATCTAAAGACGTTTTCGCTGCTGTTACATTACTATCCCTCAGCATTGTATAAATAAAATTCTGCAGAGACTAAATCAACAAATCAATGGTTACCATTCAGGTAATCAACTGACTGTTTAATTATCAATAGGTCAAATAAATAAATAAAATAAATGAAATAAATAAAATAAATAAATAAATAAATAAATAAATAAATAAATAAATAAATAAATAAATAAATAAATAAATAAATAAATAAAAATGATAAATAAAAACATCTATACAGTGCAAGTGACAGTAGTTTTCAAAATGCTATGTTTTGTACAAAGTACTTTGAAATATAGTTGAATGTGTTTGTGCATCACCTGTAATTATTGGCGATGGGTGATTTGGAGTTTTCATGTAAATATTTCAACTGATTTTGAAGAATGAACTTCATACAACAGACAGTTTTGAAGTTTTGTTGCATCTAAGCTTAAAGTCGAATGGCTGAGCCATTAAGGCAGGGGTGCTGAAAATTACAGCCATATTTAATTGGCAAACATCACACTTGTCTATGGTTCTGGTGGTGGAACCAGTTCACACAATTTGGCTCATGTGTACTTCAAAGAAACCAGTACATCTTCTGAGAAGAATAGGAGGTTAGCCCGGTTCTACTGGTTCATACAGTCCCGACAGACGAGAAATAGCTGGCATAGAGTAGGTTTACCCGGCCCAGGTGGCTTAAACATGAAGAGACTGATTGAGGGCAAAAACCAAGTTATTGTACAAGCTAGTCCACATCTTAAGCACATTGAGACGTTAGTATAAAATGCTATATAAATCCAACTACATTAGAATAATAAAAATAAATATATATTTACAAAAACTATGCATTGCACTTACTGTGTTCACTTTATTATTTTTATGTTTAGCATTTATTGATCTGATATCCTGTACTATGTAGCTGTAGAGTGTTTTTCTCAGGAGTTTGTCCTGACATCTCAACAGTTCAAAAAACAGTTCAAGTAAAGTATTCGGCATGATCAGATTTTTGTTACGAAGCAAGATCAATCCTTTGCAAAAGACCTGTTATTAAAAACAATACATTGGAATAAAAGTGGAATTGTAATTTAAATATACGTGTTTTTGAAATTATGCGTGATTTTGAAAATTATATGAAAGGTGTTGGAACAAGGAATTGAAGCAACAACCTGTTGCTTTAATTCCTTGTTTAAATGCC